TATTTTTTAAAAAACACTACTAAAAAGGAAATGTCAAACTATGGGAAATCTGGATTTAACTATATACTTGGTAATTACACAGTCATAAATAAAGCTATCAATGAAAATGATTGGGAAAGTCTTTTTGGAAAAAATATTATTAATGAGTGCTATGAAATATTCTTAAATATCTATGATAAATTATGCAACAAATATATTCCTAAAAAAAAAAAATACTTTAATAAACAACCACAGCCCAAACCTTGGATTGATAGAGAAGCAAAAAAAGCAATAAGAAACAAAACAAGTTTATGGGACAAACTATTATCTAATGGTTTTAAATGTGACCAGCTGAAAGTCCAATATATTTTAATCAACAAGACAATAAAAAATCTTATTAAAACAAAAAGAATAAATTATGAAAAAAAAATAGCTGACTCATCGAAAGAAAATCCAAAACTGTTTTATGCATATGTTAATTCAAACAGAAAAATAAAATTAGGCATTAATATAATAACAGATAAAAATGGTTCTTTACAAACAAATCGTGATGATATTGCTAATATCCTCAATGAAAACTTTCACTCAGTATTTGTTATAGAAGATCCAACAAATTTTCCAAATACTGCATTAAAAACAAGCAAGACTTTAGAATTAGATATAGACTCAATAATAACTCAAGACATCGTTAGAATTAAACTAAGTGAACTAAATGTCAATAAAGCATTAGGAGCAGATGGTGTAAGTTTATATGTGTTAAAAAAATGTTAAAATAGTTTTTGCAAACCTCTAGAGTTACTATTCAAAAGATCCTCTCAAGAAGAACAAATTCCACTAATATGAAAAATGGCTAATGTAACACCACTACACAAGAATGGAGATAAAAATGATCCTGCAAACTATAGACCAATTTCATTAACGTCAATACCATGCAAAATTCTAGAGTCAATCTTAGGTAACAAAATAATGGATTACATGTTAGCAAACAATTTATTAAATAGTAACCAACATGGTTTTCAAAAGAACAAAAGCTGTACTACTAATCTACTAGAAACACAAGATATTTTACTTGATGCTATTGAGAATAACTGGTGTGTTGATGTGTTGTATACAGATTTCTCAAAAGCCTTTGATAAAGTACCTCATATGCGATTGATGTCAAAGTTAATATCATATGGTATAGTTGGAGTTATTCTAAATTGGATAGAAGCCTATTTACATAATAGAAAGCAACGAGTAATTTTTGGGGATTGTGTATCAAAATGGCTAACAGTTGAGAGTGGAGTTCCACAAGGTTCTGTCCTTGGGCCTCTTCTGTTTCTTTTTTTTATAAACGATCTGCCAGACACATTAAAAAATAATATTAAATTGTATGCAGATGATAGCAAAGTTATAAATATTTTAAAATCAGATGAAGATATCCGTATAAACAAATTACAACTAGATATTGATAATATTATGAAATGGTCGTCACTATGGTTAATGAAATTTAATTATGAAAAGTGTAAAATTATGCACATTGGTTTTAAAAATCCTTGTATAACTTATTCAATGTTCGACGCTGAAACTCAACAGAATAATATATTAGCAGCATCAAAAGTAGAACGTGATTTAGGAGTAATGATGCAATCTAATTTAAAATGGACCAGTCATATTGATAAAGCTGTTGGTAAATCAAATCAAATGCTTGCTCTTATTAAACGAACTTTTAAATATTTCGACTCAAATATGACAAAAAAGTTATATACAACTTTTGTAAGACCGCATCTTGAGTTTGCAATCCAAGCATGGTGCCCTTATCTGAAGCAAGACATCTTAAAGTTAGAAAAACTACAGAGAAGGGCAACAAAACTCGTACCAGCTTTTAAAAAAATGCCATATGAAAAAAGATTACAGTTAATGAAATTAACAACTCTAGAAGAACGCCGTTTAAGAGGAGATCTTATTTTTCAATATAAAATACAAAACGGTTAATGAGAAAATAAATTGGATAAACGACTCGACATCTCAAGTTCAATTAAAACCCTACAATTTTCGTAGTCATAACCAAAAGTTAACAAATGCATATTGTAAGAGCAATTATAGATATAATTTCTTTTCCTGTAGAGTCGTAAATGCTTGGAATGGTTTACCACCATATATTATTGAATCAATGACAATTGACCAATTCAAAAATAAACTTGATCAATCAGATTACTGCAAAAATTATTTATTAAATACTAAGTAATATCTATATACATTGAAAAGTAAACAATGCTATTATAAAACATTTATTGGTGTTATAGCACAACATCTTCTGTTGTTGTGCTCCACAATTGATTTCATCAGTTGTCACAGTGTACATTATTATTATTGTTATTATTATATTAAAAACTTAATATACTTCTGTAATGCATCCTTAAAACTTAATTCAGTCATGTTTGCAGATGACACGAATTTATTTCTTACCAACAACGATATCAAGAAATTATATGCGGATTTGAATATTGAACTAAATAAAGTAAATAACTGGTTTAAGGCTAACAAAGTCTCACTTAATGCCGAGAAAAACTAACTATATACTAAAATCTTCCTCTCAAGTTGCCGAACCTATTTATAAATGACAAATTAATTAAAAAGCAATCCAATATAAGATTCTTGGGAATCGTTGTTGATGAAAAATTTATCATGGCTTCCACATATAATATATATCCAGTCAAAAATTACCAAAATCATAGGTTTAATGTATCGAGTTCGCTCGTACATCAATACAAATAGTCTTAAATTAATCTACTTTGGGCTAATTCACAGCCTCATCAGCTATGCAAACATTTCATGGGCAAGTACTCAAACAGCAAAGCTTAAGAAACTTTATAGTTTTCAACATGCCTGTAGAATCATTTACTTTAAAAATAGGCGGGAACACGCTAATCCCTTGATGAAAGATATGAAAATGATGAATGTATTTGAAATAAATATCTACCAGCATTTAATTTTCATGTATCGTTACAATCACAATATCTTTCTATAAGCTTTAATAATAAGTTTGAGTTAAATAAAAATGATAACTATAATCTTAGAGCGAATATGTTGAACACATATAAACTGCCTAGGATAATAAATATTCAGAATACAGCATTTTATACCGAGCTCCAAAAGTATGGAATATTTTTCAAAAAGGTTCAAAGGTACGGTGAGTTCGTTAAGTTCATTCAAGTTTTTAACAAAAAAAGAAATTTTTAAAACCTGTGAAACATTTTTTGTTAATAATGCTTTGGATAAATTCTCTTAAATACGTTTTTGTTTTGTTTCTACTTTAGTTTGTTGCTTGACAAATTTTATAAGCGGATTACGCATTTTGTTATGTATTTTATTGAAATTTTTTGTTTTGTATGTCATATTATGATATTTTAATTAAATCTTGTTAAAGGGGTTCTATGAAAAGATTGCAATGACGTTCTGTCATCCTCATCTTCTTTGAGCCCCTATCTGTTTTACTTATTTTGTTAAATTTTATATTATGTAGTGGAATTTGTAAAATTCTTATGTTATGTAAACAGAGGAAAAAAAAAAAAAAAAAGCACCTAATTAACAACAGCATTTCTAAAAAAAGTACCAATAATGATAATGGAATCAAAATAAGCAGCTGTTTATCATGAGCATAAAAAAGCATCAATTAAGTGTAAAATACAACAAAACCACTCTGACTATGCTATGCGATTTAAATCGAGTGTTGTCGAATTTTCAACATTTAAAAAATAGTTAACGTGTTATTATTTAATTTAATATATTGTTGACCCGCAATATATATATATATATATATATATATATATATATATATATATATATATATATATATATATATATATATATATTGCATACATTATTTGGCCTAAGCCAGTTATGTGTATAGTAACGTATTACACCTTCTAATATCGTGTACAATCCTGTCCGCTATCTTTTTAACTCAACTACTTCTGTCTTTCACTCTAACATTTCTTTGTTCTTCCCAAATTCACATACTCTTGGTCTGTAGAGCGGGTTTTGACGCTCCTTGGGGAGCCGAACTTGTCTTTTCGGACCTTAGTAATGTAGCCTCTGTATGGCAACTAGCCGGAGGAGGATAAACCACAACACGTATTTATTCTAAAGCTTAGTCTAGATATTTGTTTACATTAAATACTTTTATTACATTTTGTTTTTGTATACCTATACTTTTTGGCTATGTTATTTGTTGGAGAATAAATGTTCAAACACTTTTTAATAATTTTATAGTATACACAAGTACAGATTAAAATTAGGTTAAGGCATGTGATAAATTTTGTTTTTCAAAAAATAATGTGAAATTATGTGAACACTTTAATATTACCCATGTACCGCCCCTCCACTTTTAACCTAAAGTCAAAATGTGTAAAATTTTTTCTTTAATTATATTTATGGAGGTTCTTAATACCAATTACTTTATTTAAATACTGTTATTTCTTAATAACAAAAAAAGGGAGACTTGGCGGTCACTATGGTTCTCAGTGACTTAAAAATAAAGACTTACTGTTGTTTTTTTTAAAAGTGTTCAAAAGAAACATTGAAAAAAATATATATTTTTTTAAATCTTGTTTTTCATTTTAAATTTCATTTAGACTGATAAATTGTGTTGTAAACTCAAACTAGTTAGTTTTTTACCTTTGTAACCTCTTGGGGATTAAATTAAAGTCTCTTATTTTACGCGATGCTAATAAAAAAAATATCTAAAGAACATAAAAAAAAAATCAATAATTCAATCGTATATTGCTACTGGAAAAATAAATTTAAAAATTAAATTAGTAATCTTTACAAGGTCATATTACAGGATCACAAAAATTAGTTTTTGTTGTATTGTTATAGTTGCGCTGATTAAAATTTTTAGAAAAATATTAATATGTTAATGGCCAATCAAAAAAGGACCCAAACTTGACGCCCCTTGAATGTTAATATAATCAGTCTGATTCTTCCACTAATCGTTAAAAAAAAAAAGACAAAATATGGCGCGGTTAAAAAATTAAAAATTTGAATTAAATGAGTGTGTATTTAAAACTACTCAAAACTCTAAAAACCAGCGGGGCGTCCACCTTTTCTGTAATCGCATTCTGCTGAAATTTTTCCATCTTTTGTTCGAGCAATAGCCTGAACTACCCCCATAATGGCATTAAGTTGACCTAAATACAAAAAAAATATTTATATTAATAAAAAAATTTCAAAAAGGGTTGTCATTTACGATAATATATGCAATTGTTTAACAATATCAAAATTTAAAATATCGTTAGTAAACTTTTTATAGTTTTTTTTATATATTTAACATGTGCAACAGCACATGTTAAATATATCTGTCAAATGAACATATACAGCTATTTTCATCTGCACACTTTTACATATTATTGACAACACAATAATAACGAACATAATTTAAACCTACTCATAATTTCAATTATTTCTCAAAAACTCTAGATCAAAGGCACGTAAAACTATAATATTATTTTGTATTTTAATATTATTTCTAAATACTAAGCATTAACGATGATTTTTTAGTAGTTGTTTTAAAACCCACAATGTGGTTTTGGGGTAACATTGACAAGAATGTCAAAGTTGCCCAGGACAAGAGTTAGTTTATGTGTCTGATGCGTCAACCCCACTTTATCTTTCAATAGCTCAATAGTTTAAATGCTACTTTATGTTCATTAGTTAACTTATGTTAATTATTTAGCGTTATAATTTAGTGATATTTAAAGATGCGCAATAAATAATGCAATAAAAGAAGTAAAACGCAACTGAAAAAATTCTAAGAAACTTGAAACATGCAAAACATCATGGCAGGGCCGACGACATCGGGGGAGCACGTGCCCTCCCCCCCCCCCACTTTTTTTCTAAAGGATCTTTTTTTTTTTTTTTTTTTAATATAAGAAAATTCTAGATATAGACAACTTTTTTTAAGAATTGACTGTTGTGCCCCCCACTTTGAAACCCGTGTCGTCGGCCCTGCATGGAAAGTAATTGAATAAATAAAGTATTTGATCAAGTAATTATCTAGTTTAATTATGTATTCCACTATTGAAGTTAAAACTAGAAAAATAATTTTAATATATCTACATAATAAAAAAAATTTACAAACATATGTAGTAAAAGAAAAATAAATTTGTGTTTAATAACATGATGAAAACATGTTTTTACCTGAAACATCATAAGTACTGTTAGTCACATACTGATGACTGAATGACTCGATTTTAGGAACCATTTGCTTAGGTAGGGTTGGCTCATATACAACTGTTGGTGGAAACAATTGGCAGTGTAGACGTGGTCTTGTAATGGCAACCTTTAAATTATCTTGCAGAAACATCCAATTTGCAATGCTCTGTAATGTAAATAATTTTATATCAATAAACAAACTTGTAAAAAAATCGTGATGTTTTTTTAATATCTGCATGTTTTACTGAGGTAAATGCTTACCATTGTAATGGCAGCAGGAATGAAAAATCCTCCAGCTGCTCCCCAGACCGCTTCAACATTGTTACCTTTCAAAAAAATTGAAGGCATAACTCTTGACATGGGTCTCTTTCCGGGAATTTTAGCATCAGATGTTAAATTATATATCTTGGGCCAAAACTCGCTGAAGTCTGCAAGTTCATTGTTATAAATAAAATCTAGTTCACGAGATCGAAGTTTTGATCCAAAGCTTAAAAAAAATTATATATATACACAAATATAAACACACACACACAGATATATATATATATATATATATATATATATATATATATATATATATATATATATATATATATATATATATATATATATGCATGCACATTTACACTTTATAGTAAAAAAAGCATACTAGGCATTAATTGATGAAGTAAGCGAGCAAGCATTTCCATTTTGATCTAGAACAGACATGTGTGAAGTTCCTGTTTTTTCAGTTGAAAACAGCTGAGAGTAAGGTTTGTAGTCTTCAACATTATGAGAGAATCCATCAATCTTTTTATACATGTTCTTTGCAGTGCTATCAGATAACATATACTCCTCAACCTAATGAAAAAAAAATTGTAGATTAAACCGAATTTATTTCTAAAGAAATATCTTTCTTAAATTAAATCCACCTTTAAAAACTTTATCAAATCCACTTTAAAAATTTGAAAGAGTTTGTTTATAAACAATGAGTGTATTTAAGTAGATGGGTAGGTAGGTAGGCGGGTAGGTAGGTAGGTGGGACTGTTTTATATAATTGAATGAAGGGTCAATTACATCACATGTAAATTAACTTGAAGTTCTCTTGTTTAATAAATGTTTGTTAAACTTATTTTTCATATTATTAAAAATAATTTACTTAGCAACCTTTTTTTTGTCTTTTAAAAACCAATCACAATAAGTACCAATTCACAATAAGGGTTTTAAAATAAAGATATTAAAGATAAAATTAAAGTTGTTTTAAGCTAATCTAGTTAAATAAAATAGAAAATAAATAGCAAACAGTATTAAAAAAAAAAATACCAAAAGGTATTAAAAAGTAACTTACCTGCTTAGTATTATTATTAAAGCGAGGGTCACTCAAAAATGTTGAAGGTGCAGAGGCAAGCTTCATAGACTCAATATATTCATGGAAATATCGATCTGGTTTTTCTGCGAACTTTTTAGCGTTCCATTTTCCTTCTGCTAAAATCTTCAAAGCAAGAGACATCAGTGCTCCACTGCTTGGTGCTGGAGTAGTCAAAACAGTAAACTCATTAATGTTTGTTCTTATTGGTTCAACTTCTCGTACTTTGTAAGATGCAAGATCTTCACGAGTCATATAGCCTCCTGCAGCACGGATATCCTCAACTATTTGATTTGCCATTTTGCCACTAAAATAATTATGTTGCGTTAATCATTTGACATTTCAAAAAGTTAAAAATTAAATGTGCAGTTGAATTAATTTTAATTAAAAAGATGTAATAAATTTTCTATTTTGCTAAAGCATACACATATTTGAAAAAATATTTTTGTTCAAAAATATTTTTCAAAGATATTGCATTTAAAGCAAATAAACTTTGCATATCTGAAAGTGAATTTCATCATTGAATATATATTATATATTATCTAATAAAAATTTTTAAGAAACACTTCCTGTAAAAATGAAAAAGTTATTATTTGTTACTGAAGTTGATACTGGAAAACCTCAACATTTGAACTTAAAGTTTAATTCTGAAAAATTAATTTTTAATATAAAAAAACTTTAAATTTAGCAAAATAAAACTTTAATCATGTATTTTTGAATAAAAACTAGTTTTTAATGCTGTTAACTTGTTAAAATTTGAATTAAATTAATTTGCAATTCCTTTAAATTTAAAAACTCAAACTGTTTGTTTAGCCCAAACAACGTAAAATATTTGTATATTTGACATGCAAATATACAAATATTTTAATATAATGTACATTAAAAAAAAAATATTTAATTACAGGTAGAAAACATCTGCTCCTTCATTTGCAATTTGCTCATAAGTTCTAGCAAGTTTTGGTCGTGCAAGTTTATCACCAAGCTGCAAAATAGTGCCATCAGGTGCAAACAACTCTCTAATAAGTAAAAAGTAAAAAACTTTTTGAGAACATGATAGTTAAACAGATTAAAACATCAGCAAGTTTCTATTAATACAAGGGGACACAATAGTGTAGTACACAAATCAAGAGTAAAAGTACAATTGTAACAGCCAATAAAATGCTCTTCTATCTGAAAAATAAAGCATAAAAATGTCAGGTAGTATCAAGTTCAAACCCAAAATAGTTTAAATATTTTATCAAAAATTATGATATTTGTTAATAAGAAAAAATACTTTTATCCTAACGAAAAATAAAAAATTAAAAAATCACGATTTTTATCTTTAAATAAACAAAGAAAAAATCACAGGCATGCATAAAAACTTCTCCATTCCTTTAAATCTGTTTTGCTCCTATCAGCACGTACAACATAAAACACGTTATATACATTTTCATATGTCTATTTAATACAAATAATGTGAAGCAATTTATGATAATAAATAATAATTTATAATACAATATGATGAATTATCCACAGAAGGTATTTGTGAGTAAAATGTAAAAGCAAATGTCATGAAGTTCGAGAGAAAGAAAAATCACCAAAAAAAATAATCTAAAAACTTTGTGTTTAATATCCTTAATCTAAAACCAAATAAAAACTCAATATAATTACAAACATATAATATATATATACTTTAGTATGCAAAACGTATCAAACAAAAATGTTTGTGAACACTTTTCAAAAGTGTTTTCTAAAAAAGTTTCGGTACAAGTTTTCTTATTATGATCAATCATGCACCTAATGCATTTTATTTCCTTGTTAAATGTTAAAAAGTTTTCAGTTGAAATAATCTTAGAAACCAGCTGGTTTGCCTCCTTTTCTGTAATCACTCTCAGCATTGAGTTTGCCATTTGGCAGTCTAACAACAGCTTGTACTACGCCCATAATAGCATTTAGTTGACCTAAAAAAGTAATAATAATAGAGAAATATATAAGGATATAATAGGAAAAAAATGCTATTTTTTAAGTCTGATTTCTGTTAATACTAAACTTTATTGATACTAAAAGTCATACTAAAATAGTGTATAGACATTATCAAACACATTATAGAAGGGTCGGCAGTATCTGCATATTATTAAACACATATAAAAGGGTGGGCAGCATCTGCATACTATCAAACACATTATGGAAGGGTGGGCAGCATCTGCATATTATCAAACACATTATGGAAGGGTGGAGAGCATTTGCATATTATCAAACACATTGTGGAAGGGTGGGCAGCATCTGCATATTATCAAACAGATTATGGAAGGGTGGGCAGCATCTGCATATTTTCAAACACATTATGAAAGGGTGGGCAGCATCTGCATATAAAAGATTCATAACAGCAAAGGAAAATCATTATTAGCTGTTTTCTTTTTTCTTTTTCTTTTTAAAACTGATGAGCACTAAAATTTAAGTACAACAAAGTATTGTGAAAGTATGCTAAATATGCTAAATATGTGGATAACAAATGATTCTTTTGGTTCTACTAACAGAATCAAAAGAATCATCAAATAGACAAAAAATTATTCTAAGAACCTCTGCCATGTTTCAGTAAATATTCAAAATTGAAACAACAATGCATTGAATAATCCTCTAACACTACCTTTAGTAGAAAACTATTTCAATAAACTAAGTAGCATAGGACTCTTTCTTTAATTTGATAATGGAATCTTTATAAAAACATAATTTTCAATGCAATTTTAGGAAGTGAAAAAAAAAGATTCTAGATTTATAGTTACATTTATGTACACCCAAAATAATTAAAGCATTGCACACACTTATAGTTACTATAAAACATTTATATTTTTATAAATAAAGTATACTTAACTTAATTAAAGAATTTAATGAATTCCATCATAAGTTTTGTTAGAAACTATATTAATATGCTATACTCATTTTTTGGACACTCAAACATAGTTTTTTCAAGATATATATATATATATATATATATATATATATATATATATATATATATATATATATATATATATATATATATATATATATATATATACATATATATATATATATATATATATATACACACACACACACACACAAAAACAATACATTAAATAAACCTTCAGTGATATTAATCTTTTACCTGACACATCATAAGTGCTGTTCGTGACATAAGCATGAGAGTATGACTCTAAACCAGGTATAATTTCAGCTGGAAACGTTGGTTCATATACAACTGTTGGGGGAAATAATTGACAATGCACACGAGGTTTTGACACTGCAATTTTTATATTGTTGTGAAAAAACAGCCAATTAGCAATTGTCTATAAAGATATTTTATTTGCATTATATTAATATTATAAACATAAATAATGCTTTTTAAAAAAAAAATTTTAATCACAAAATGCTTATATATATATTAGGGTGCATCAAACGCCCCATACTTTCAAAATTTGATCTGTCCCTATTCTTAAAACCATCTGTTGGTTCTCATGAGACACTCTGTTAAATTTTTTAAATTTGAAGGAGATTTAGGGGGGCCACATCAAATCTGAGACTTTCGACGAGACCCTAAACAGAAGAAAAAAAAGTTTTTCAAATGTATGTCATGTTGGGTCTCAAAAAAAGCGAAATTTAAAAAAAAAAAATTTCAAAAACAATAAAAATTTTACACGTCTTAATGTGGCCCCCTTAAATCTCATTCAATTTTGAAAAAATTTAACAGAGTCTCTCATGAGAACCAACAGATGGTTTTAAGAATAGGGACAGATCAAATTTTGAAAGTATGGGACGTTTGATGCACCCTAATATATATATATATATATATATATATATATATATATATATATATATATATATATATATATATATATATATATATATATATATATATATATATATATATATATATATATATATATATATATATATACATTTTTGTTTGTCTGTATGTAGATGTGTGTTCATGTGTTTGTGTATTATTTATACTTGATTTACAACAACATTAAACTATTCATACTTGGATAAGACATGATGGTATAAAAAAACCACCAGCTGCACCAAAAACACCAACTGCAGAGTAATGCTTATCAAGAAATATAATGGGACTTGATTTGGACATTGGCCTTTTACCAGGGATTTTTTTGTCAGAATTAAGATTGTAGACATCAGGCCAAAATTCACTAAAATCTGCCAGCTCATTGTTATAAATAAAACCGAGTTTCTGTGACAAAAGTTTAGAACCAAAACTAAAATTAAATTAAAAAATTTCTTCAATTTTTATTTCATTACTGTATTTAAACAAATTTGAAAAAATATATTGAATAAAACACGAATTAAAAAAAAAAATGAAATTTAATATTTAAGTGTTCAAAGAAAAAGCAGAAGATAAATACAATAAGTAAAGCTTACTATGCATTTATTGAAGTTGTACCACCAACAGCATTTCCATATCTATCAATAATGGAAATGTGAGAAGTTCCTGATTTTTTAGGGTGCTTTTTTTTATTGAAAGGAGCATAATAGTCAACAGTATGTGAAACACCGTCAATTCTCTTAAACATTCTCCGTGCAACTTCATCATTGAGCATATAATCTGTGTACTTTTTTCAAAAGAAAAAAATATATATAACATTTATGTTATAGAAGTATAATACAATAACTTTAAACATCAATATATCAATAATTTTTATTCTTTTTTTTATTTATTTTTTTTAATTCCTTCTACTAAAAAAAGTATTTAATGGAAATAAATAGAACCTATGTATTTTGAACAGAATGATTATTTAAAAACAAAAAAAATTAAACATTTTGTAAAAGTAGATACTTAAATCTAATTGATTATAAGTGGTTATTTATTTATATGTACCAAAAAAATGTAACTAATAATAACTCTATATAAATTTCTAATCACCTGGTCTGTTTTATTCTGTCCTGCAAATGCTGGATCAGACAAAAAAGAATATGGAGCATATGCAAATTTCATTGCTTCAACTATCCGATGATATAACAGTGGTTTATTTTTATACTGGTCGTTAGCAGTCCAGTTAAAATGTTCCATAATTTTAAGTGCCAGAGAGATTAAAGCACCACTACCTAAATGTCAGTTAAAAAAATATTAAACTAAAAGAAAAATTTTATATTCTATACTAACAACAATACTGCTTATAGTAAAAAATAGGTCTTGGTGTTTAATGTTGACAAAACTAGAAGCTCTTTATGTAAAAGCCATTAAAATAATTGAGGAAGCTAATTTAATTTGTTTATTTTTTAAAAAACCACAAAAGTGAAACCTAGAATATTTTTTGCTTTTTTAATTCAAAACATTTTTCTTACTTTTTGTTTTATTAATTTATTTATTTAGGAATTAGTACAGCAGAGTGAAATAGGTATAGTATGCAAGGAGTCCATGACCATCAAACCATGACCTTATTAACAATTGATGACATAATAATTTATTATTTGTTTTAGACTAAATTCTGGCCTTATTTTCAAAATTATTAATCTTAATATATTTACAATAAATAATATAAAAAATGTTAATTTATAAATTTAATAATATTAAAATTTTAAAAATATTTGTGAGACTTATAATATAATAATTTGGTTTGCCAAAAAATTAGCAGTTTACATGTTTGTAGTTCATATTTTACTGACTACGTTTTTTGTCAACAAAAAAAATGAATCTCAGACTTTTTAATTCTGAAGTCAGTTTTCTAACAAATGGACATTGGTTGCTATATTTTTATATAAACTATAAAACCTAAAATATATTAATTTAAAAATAACAACAATACTAATTATAAACACCATCATATATAATTATATTTATACAAATATATTTACTAAAACAAAGTTAAAAGGGAATTAACTTCAAACAAACCTGGTGGTGGCGTAGACAACATAATAAGTCCTTTCAAAGTTGTATTTAAAGGCTTTTTTACATGCAGCTGGTAATCTTCTAAATCTTTTTTAGTCATGGAACCACCAGCATTTTGAACATCTTTTGCAATCTGATCTGCAATGTCACCGCTACAAATACCAGAAACAATATACTGAATGAGTTACAAATTTGATTACATTTTTACAGTTTAACATTAACAAATTATTAAAATATTTATATCAATAAATAATTAACAGTGACTAAATAAAAATAACAAAAGGAAAATAAAAAAACTGTATCTGCTTATTTTTAACTATTTTTTTGAACTATACAAGTTAAATATATTTAATCAGCCAATATAATAATAATTGAGAAAGCCAACTTATGTAACGAAGTCCCCTTAGATGGATAAATAATAATACTCACTAATAAAAAATATCTGAACTTCCATTATCTGCTATTCTCTGATAAGTTTCAGCAAGTGTAGGTCTTTTTAATATATCACCAAGTTTTAGGACTTTGTTATTTCGAACATACAAACTTCTAATGAATGAAAAGTCTATTTTGTTGATTTACGAAAAACTTATTAAAAATTAATAGCGAAAAGTTATTACAAACTCAAAATAATTTAAGAAGACTTTAATTAACAGTTTTATCATTAATAAAAGTAAACCAGGTATTACCTTAATGCTGCATTATGCAGGATGTAATCCTTTTTGGCTTGTATAGCATTGTTTAGAGCTGTATGGATTGGAAAGCCTTTATTTGCAAGATCAATGCAAGGCTTCCAAAGATCTTTCCAAGGTAACTTTCCAAAATCTTCCCACACTTTATGTAATCCCTTTAGGACACCAGGAACTAAAATGGTGTCCCCTTGTGTTTTGTCTAAGTAAGTTAATTAAAACTTGCTGATGTGAAATTTAAAATAATTTTTACTAAGGCCAATTTTAATAGCAGCTTAAACATTTTTAAAACCAGTTTAAAAGAAGTTTTAATCTTAAACTGCAAAAGGAATATAAATGTTCTTTTGTGTATTAAAATTGGTCTTATTCAAAGCATAAAACTTACTGGCTTACTTACACTTAACACCTTGTTTTTAAAAGATATTAAGTACAGTAAGTGCAGCCAGCCTTACCGTAATCCTAAATTAGCCTCTATATAATCTTTTTTCTTTTTTATACCAGCAGCTAGAGCTGCATGAATATAAAATCCTTCACGAGCTAACTTAATGCAGGGCTGCCATAAATCTTTCCATGGTAATTTGCCAAAATCCTTGTGTACTGCTTCTAGACCTCTCAAAACTCCAGGCACTAAAATTGTCTCCCCTTGGGTTTTACCTAGATGCAATTAAAACAAAGTTATGTATAATTCAGTCCAAACCCTCACAATTTTGAACAAAAAAGATCTTTTTTAAACAGAATTAGTGCCTGAAGTTTATTCTGGTCCTGTAATTCAACAGAATGATGAAAGCTTTGCAAAGCATGTTAACTAATCCAAAAGAAAATCAGCTGAATGCAAATTTTACCACAGACATTAAATTGATGATAGGACCATGAACTAATTCTGTTTAAAAAAACTGATCATTTTAACATGCAAAAAAAAGCTAATTTTCTTTTGGAAATTAGTTTCACATTAAAATAGTTAAAACATAATTACCTAACAAAAATTTCTTAACAAATTTATCTTATATATATATATATATATATATATATATATATATATATATATATATATATATATATATATATATATATATATATATATATATATATATATATATATATATATATATATATATATATATATATATATACATATATAATATATATATATATATATATATATATATATATATATATATATATATATATACACAAGCATTTAGATATGTAATCAAAATAAAAATATAACTACTTACTTCCTGTATCTGTATATGCAGCAACAAGAGATTCACGGAAATCATACGCTTTGGCTTTTCCTTCAAAACAAATATAACAAATCTTAGATTAAATGGATTGATGATGACATGTGTAATAGTTAAAATGATAAATATAAAATATTAATTATTATATACTCATTATAAATAAAATGTAGATAAATTGTAGCTAAATTGATATATTTGATTTTTATTTTATTTATTATTTACCTATCTTATATTTATTTATTATTGTGTTATTAATGTTACATTTTATGTTATTATTATATCTAATTAACATCTATGATTTGTACATACAATTTATATTGTATTATAATATTCTTAATATTATTGGTACTTTATTTTTATTGTTATTATTTTGTATTATTACTATTATTATTACATAAATCATTATTATTTGTTTAACAATCTTTTCTTCTTTTCTCTCATATTTATATATACAGATGTTGAGTTTTTCCTTTTGTTTTTTTTTTGTTTGCTTTTGTTTCTTTTTTTTTTCGTGAAGTTTTTATGTTTTTTAGGTGTCACTCCATTGACTAGTTTGTAACTATATGAGTGACACCTAACCAATTTATATTAATTTACAATGAAATTTGTAAATTTTTTAAATTATTCTATATATAAAGGATATTTCTTTTAGATAAAGGTATTTTGCTTTTACTTTTTTTTTCTTTTTCTAAAAAAACGGTGTCTGGTTTATATTCAGCTTAAAAATTGTAAGCATGTATGCATTAGCACTATTATAAAATATATTAAAATACATTAGTAAACATTTGTTATTAAATGCTTTTCATTATTCTTTTAAATGTAAGCAGAATGCATTAGCACTATTATAAAATATATTAAAATATATTAGTAAACATTTGTTACTAAATGCTTTTCATTATTTTTTTAACTATTGTAAGTGCTTTCATAAAGAACCTTGTTCATATAAAAATCTTATATAAAAATTAATATTAGTGTTATTTCCATCAGCTTGGTATGTGTTTATACTTTTTTAAGTTTATACTTAAGTCATTTAAAGTAGTTTTGTTAAATATTTCAGTACAACTTTAAAAAGTTGGCTTAATGACCTTAACTTTGATTTTTTTTTGTGCAAATGATTTTGATAAAAAAAAAATTTTTTTTTTTTTTACAAATTTAAAAAAAACATATTAAAAAATGTTTTAAACTTATGTAATTCTTGTTTATAAATTTAAAAATTTAGTATTTAAATAACTGTGCTTTTTTGATAGATGAAAACAGTAAAAAGTCATAATAAGATAAATAAATATTTGAAGAAGATTCACTCTTTCTTTTGCTCTTTCATTAGCAAATTAATTAAGTTATAGGTAATTTGTTTAATGAGTTGAAAGTTTAGTTTTTTTGTAGCATCATCAGTAAAAAAAAATTATTACTCTTTTAGCAAAATTATAATAATGTTCCTTTTAATGTGGTTAATGACAAATTTAATAAAACAAAAATGCAATTTAATACAAACAATAACTAATATAATTTAATATAGTTGTGAGTATTTTTTGTAAGTATTTTTTATTATTTTTTTTTAATTTTTAGGTGTCTTTTGTTAACATGTAATTTTCTGAAGAAAAAAAAAAGTTTTAGAGAGTGGTGTTGTAAGTTTTTTCATAATTTCATAATTTAAACCTTTTCATAATGTACCTTTTCATAATGTACCTTTTCATAATGCACCTTTTCATAATGTACCTTTTCATAATGTACCTTTTCATAATGTACCTTTTCATAATGTACCTTTTCATAATGTACCTTTTCATAATGTACCTTTTCATAATGCCATTTTTCATAATGTACCTTTTCTTAATGTGAATGTATTTTAGTGAAGCATTTTAAAAGATACTATAGATTGAACTTTCAGAAAATTTATGCATGTATAATAATTAATTTATGCAGGTATAATATTGATTCAAATTAAAGAATAATTTAAATTAAAAAAATTTATTAATTTAATTTGAGACTTTAATGCAAACTTTAGGAGTAATAGTTTTTTGAATTTTTAATAAACACCTATAATGAGAGCTAATGTTAAAACTTTAATACTAAAAAATTTAATTTTCATAAAACTTACCAGTTTTTTTTTCATAATAAACCATAAAGCCTCCTCCCCCAAGACCGGTTGAATGACTATTAACTATTTCAACACAGCAATGAGTAGAAACAATGGCATCCGCAGCTGTTCCATTTTTGAGTAAGATTTCCTTTCCTATTTTTGAGCAGATTTCATTATCTGCTGCGACAGCAGCATGATCAAATTGAAGAGGCTCTTCTTGGCTATCTGGTGGTGGACCTGCTGCATGTACTCGTTTTTGAGCATCTAAACCAAAATATGATTCTGTTACTAAAATTTTTCAAAAATTACAACTCAAAATTTAACAGAGAAATGAAAAAAAATTTGTGTAATTAATTCTGACAAAAAAGTATCTTCTCTTTGTTGTAAAATTCATTAAATTTTAGAACAACAGTCTTTGTCAAAATGTCACTGTAAGTTCTTTTTTACTTACTTAGCGTCTTTTGTTTACGAGATTTCTTCTTTATCTCCTTGTTAATTGTTTTGTTTACTGCACTTAAAGTTTCAGAACGCTTAAATAATGGACAAGGGCATGGTGGTGTTGGACAGTTCATAGGACACATAGGATATGTCATTTGAGGCGGCAGCATATCAAAACAAGGTGGATTCATGCACATTGGCATAGGCTGGGGATTACAAGGAGGTGTCATACATGGCCCAGGAAGAGGTACACAAGGTGGTAAACATATTGTTGGGGGTATTGGTCTAGTTGGTCTTGGTGTGGTTTTTGGCTTTAAGCAAGGACAATCACAAGGGCATGGAGGTGGACATGGACATGGGCACTTTGGACAGTAAACTTTGATTATTGTAGGAGGACATTTATTTCCTGAGCAGTTACAGCATGAGCCATTATTTCCAGATCCATATGGACCTGGTGGTAAAGAATCAGGATATGAAGGCTTATTTGGGATTGGAGTAGTTGTAGGTGGATGGGGTGACTCCTGCTCAGTATTTACTCTAGTTTCTGTGTTTGCATGTGCATAAGTTTTTACTTTAGCTGCAGCATTTGCTCCACTGCGAGCGTTAGAAGATGTGGCTATTCGTGTGTTAACTTTTGTATTTGTAAATGTCTGTGATTCAGTTTTAGTGTCAGTTGCTGTAGCAGCTCCAGTTTTAGAATTAACTCGTGACGCAACGCCAGCCTGAGAATCAGCATTACTATTAGTACTATCTCTTTTCTTACCAAGTTCACTTTTATATCTTTTCAATCCCAGACGGCTAAATTGAAAAAAAAAAAAAAATTTACGAATTAAAATAATAAAAAAAGAAATTGCACAAAATCAAGAGAAAAAATAAAAGTTTTTTAAACAAGTAATGAAAACTTGCATTTCATTAAAGGATTAAAGAATGCTTTTTAAAATTATTATTTATTTCAAAAATATATTCAAAACACTTTTTTTGCTATATTTAAAACTTTTATTATTTCTCTTTCTTTCTTGAAAACCTTTGAAAAGCTTTTTAAAGATTTTCAAACTGTCTACAGTACATAAATAAATCTGAATTTATGCTACTATCTTATATCACGCACATTATATAACAACATACTTCAAGCATTATATAACAATAAAAATAGAACTTTAAAAAAAAAAAAAAATCCTTCACAATTGCATTTGCAGCAAATGCATAGAATTTCTCTAGGAAAAATTTTAGAGACTTTTTTTATAAATTCCTAATGATCAGCAAAACAAAGTAGGATTGAAACAAATGTATGAAAAAAAAATTTGGGAAACACTCATTAAACAACTTGTTTCTCTGCGCAGAAGCCTCGATTTCAGGTTTGTGTTTCAGAGTTAAAGAGTCAAAAGAGGGTTATAATTACAAAAAACTAGTTATTTAACACTACTTATGTACTTTGAAATGTTATTTAACACTACTTATGTACTTTTTTCCATCTTGCACTTTATTATGGTGAAGTTATAAAGTTATTAAATAACATTTTCATTTTCTTTGGTATTTTGACATTTTTTGAAAAATATCAAAACAAAAGCCCTGTGATTGAGTGTGAGGGTGTAGGCAGTAGTTCTAAACAAATTTGAATTTCTAGATTTCTTTTAAAGTAAAACTGAATTTCTAGATTTCTTTAAACATTTTTTGATATAATATATGAGAAAATGCTGTAAAAGCTCCTCTGCCTCCCTTGTTTACTCTAGTTGTTTTTTTTTAATCTAAAATCTCTCATTTTAAACTAAACTGTATAGATTTATTCCCTAAAGTTTCTTTTAACAAGCTTAGTACTTAAAAGAGGGAGTTGAGACATCAATACATGGGGCACATAGTTAGAGCAGGTGTTACTCAAAAACAACATCAAATAGATGAGTAATTCACACACAAAACAGTAGGTGTCAGTAGGAACATCTTTTTTAATTTTTTAACAGTTTTTTATTTAAATGAATGTTTGGTAATTTAACCAAATTTTACTTTTTATTTTTAAAAAGATGGCACATTGGTATGTACTAATGTACCTCACATTATACATATTATTCCCCTTACTGAAAACCATTTTTTGAATTAGCCTATAATATTATTAAAATGATTTAGTATAATATCAACGAAAACAATCAAGAAAACTTTTAAATATGGATTCAGACTCAAATTTTTCTGAAGAAGTTGAATTATAAGATCCTGAAGAATTTGATTTCGAAATTTTTGAATTCTAAGAACCTGAAGAATTTGATTTCGAAATTTTTGAATTCTAAGATCCTGAAGAATTTGATTTCGAAATTTTTGAATTCTAAGAACCTGAAAAATTTGATTTTGAAATTTTTGAAATCTAAGATCCTGAAGAATTGAAATTTTATGATGATACTGTGGTTGACCTTGTTCGTACACCTCCAGATGTGGTGAAGGATCTTTTTATAAATTTTATAAAAAATAATAGTCGTTTTATATATAGATTATTGGTTTAAACTTTATGGCTTAGAAACTATTGTCAAAAAAAATTAAAATGGTAAATTTTTTTTTTAAACAAGAAGTACTTTTTTATTTTTTATAAAAATATAAGTTGATAAAAACACAAATTGAAAAGATCTTAAAAAGAATTTTTCCAATTTGTGTTTTTAACAAGTTGTGTTTTTATCAAAAATAAAAAAGTACTTCTAATTAAAAAAAAAAATTTAAATAGTATTAGGGACCTGTCTAGTGTTTAACGATCTTGTGCAACTTCTAAGAATGCTTCAAACCACCTCAAATTTTTGCCCAGTAATTTTTCTAAAAAATGAATAAGAATGGGAGGTTTTAATGTACACTTAATACAGTTAAAAACGGTTAAAAAACCCCACTATTATTATTTTTCTATTTTTTTAAATTATGTTATTTTACCTCTCCAAGACTGAGACAGGCACTACAGTCGAGGAGGCTACTTTAATTGTGGTTAAAACTCTTTCTTAACTCTATAGCTCCAAAATACGAACCTTGAAGACAATGACGGATCCAGGATTTTTTGGTAAGGGAGGAAGTGGGAATGTTGAAATATTTTTGTATTTTGTGCCATATTTTGCATCTCCTAAATAAAAAAAGATCCTCAATTTCTGAGATATTTATAGGACTTTCTGATTTTGGTGGGGGATGGGGATGCATACCCCCTCCACTGGATTAGCCACTACTTGACAAACAACGCTGTTGCATTTATTAAAAAAGTCGAATGTTTATTAAGGTAAAAGATTACTACATCTGTCCAACAACATCTGTCGAATAGTTTAAGACCATCTGTACACTTTTGAATGAATGAAGTTTCAGATATTGCTGAACAGATAATATTATACCTACCTAATTTTTACAGATGTTATTGGACCGATGTCATTATACCTCATTATATTTAGAGATGTCGTTGGACAGATGTTTTCAGACATGGCAAAAACTGATGTTGTTACCCTGACCCTTTATTAATAGGTGTGTTTAGACAAAAATAAAACACCGAAAACAAACAAGAAAGAACAACAGCATCTTCCTATTTGCCCTTATTTAAGTGACTATAATAAGAATTTTTTTGCTGATCAGAACATAAGTACAGTTAAGTTAAACATTTTTCACTTTTTTGTTAGTATATTAGTGTATAATTAATTTTATACCTTGGCATCAAATGAAGAAAAATCGCCTTTTTCTCAAATAATATCTCATACTATCCAAAGTTCAACTTAGTGATATTCCTAAACTTTCAAATATTATTTCCCAAGTTGTGGCAACCCCAGCAATAAAATTAATAAGGTTCCTCCTAAATCACCGAAACATTTTTTTAATCACTAAATTTTTGCAGCTGACTTTTAGAATTCTTAAATTCTAAACATCTTATATATTTTATATTTATAGACATACTATTTTATTAGAAATTTTTTCATAATTGATTTATAGTAATTTATCAACAAAACAGTTTGTTAAATAATTTAATAAATATTTGCATAGGATTAAAATGTTTAATATTTACAAAGAAACTTCCGATCGTGTATGATTCTTAGTTTTATAATGAACAATTCATATTGTCAACTTTAAATGCGAATCGTGCAATGGACGTTATACGAGTCACACGCAATCGAGCTGTTAATTTTAAAGTTGAGCTTATAAAATTATAAAAAATTATAATGTAATGACTGAGGTTAGAGTAGGAGTATTGCTTAAATTTAAAATGATAAAAAGAAAATAGACTACCATAAAAAACTATTTTAAAATGGCGACTTCTAGAAAATTGACAGGCGACCTCTGTTGGCAACCGCCGTTTTAGTTTAACATTTGTTAAGTCGAACCCAATGACCTACAAATATAAAAAGTGAAGCCAGAATTTAAGATTTTTGCCGTACCGCGAAAGAAAGTTGAGGAAGAGTTCATGTAATGTGAACTCCGATCACAACTTTGTCGGCGTACTTTGGTTAGGTGACATAACTAGCAGTATCTATTGCACCCTCTAACATCGTGTGAATCCTGTCCGCTTACTTTATGCTATCTTTCTAACTCGACAACTTCTATCTTTCGCTTTAATATATCTTCGCTCTTCCCAAACTCACCTTACTAGGTATTGAGCGGGTATGACGCTCCTTTAGGAGCTCAACTAATCTTTGCGGATAATGGTAAAGTGGCCTCTATATGGCAATTAGCCGGAGGAGGTTAAACCACAATAACAGATTTTTGTCGTACTGCAAAATGGCGGTACGGCAAAAATCTTAAATTCTGAATGCGTTACATAGGGATAGATGACTAATTGCAACATGACAAAATGCAACAGGCAACTTCACACTGCCCAATAGAACAACAAAGTTCTCACGGTTTTCTATTTCCTACCGGGGTCCGTATCTATTTAACAGTATCTATTTAACGGTATTTTATAATGCAAAAAACGTATATTATTTTGCAACAACTTCATTATAGCATTACTTTACGTATAATAACAATCTATTCTATTCAAATTTAAAATAAAACAAAAAAAAAATACAAAAAGTATTACGATATTTATGTTTTATATGGAATGGCTTCTAAAAAAAAGTTTTATCAAGTTATTTATTTCCCATACGAAAAATTCCAGTTAACCGAAAAAAATTGCTGCAAGGAGACGAAAAAATGGTTCGACTAAACAAAGTTTGAGTAATCCGAGGTTTGGCTTAACCTGATAATTTTAAATAGAAATCAATTAGACGATTTTAAGGGACCAAATGAAAGAGCGCGAGATAACAAAAGTTCGAATTAACCAGTGTTCGACTTACCGGGAATTAAAACAATTAATTTAAAGTATGTTTATTATGACAAACTACGTTGCGTTTTATACTTTTTTTTTATTTTTTTTTACTTGTTGTTTTTTTGTTTAGTAGCAACTTTTTAATTTTTTTAATTTTGTTTTGACATCTAAACAATCTTTGCCAGAGAAACAAATAAAAAGATTCTTTTGAGCTGTACTTTATGTACGAAAACTAATAAAGTTAAACCATATCTTAATATTGAGTCTTTAAAAATTATATATTTTTTATTTATTCATAGTTATCTTTCCTATTGCAATACTGCATGGGGAAATACTAATTATAGGAAGCTTAAAAAAATCTATAGCAAACAAAAACATGCAAGTAGAATTATATTTGGTCTTAACAGAACTGTTAATGGTGAATCTCTTTTAATGGAACTTAATGCGCTCAATGTTTATAAACTTAACATATACCAAGTTATGCTTCTAATGTTTAAGACAAAACATGGTTTTTTTCCTAATATATTTCACTTTTACTTTATCGAAATTACTCATAAATACCTCACAAAATATTCAACTAATAGTTTTGTTGTTCCAAGATCTTATTTAAAATTCAAATTCAATACCGTGTACCATTTAGGTATACTATATGGAATATATTTACTATATGGAAAAGTTTTTTGAAAAATGTTATTAAAAATAAAACACTTCTAAATTTCTCACTAGAACAATTCAAAAGAGAATTTAAACGATTTCTATTAAAAAATTACTTCGATCTTAGAAATTTTTTCTAAATAAGTACCTGTTTTTTAAAAATAAGTACCTAAAATAATTAACCTGAAAAAAGTCATCATTACTCACTTATTTCTGTCTTAATTTGTTTCTTATTTTCTTATAAAAAATAAAAATAAATAACTAATATATATATATATATATATATATATATATATATATATATATATATATATATATATATATATATATATATATATATATATATATATATATATATATATATACATATATATATATATATATATATATATATATATATATATATATATATATATATATATATATATATATATATATATATATATTATTATTATTATTATTATTATTATTATTATTATTATTATTATTATTATTATTATTATTATTATTATTATTATTATTATACGATTTACTAATTGCAATATATTGTGTTTTACTATATAATCTTCAACCTGTAAATTTTTAATTTTAACTTGTTACATAAACTGAAGGCGACAATGTAAACGGGGCTCGGCGATAAGACAGTATACGTCTTCTTCTTGCTCATTTCTCTTTGTTACTAATATTAAACTGTCTAAAGATCTTTTTTACTTTTCTAGGATTTCGGTACAAGTATAGTTATTTTAAAATTAAATTTTTTTTATCTATTTTTAAATATACGTATAGATGTCTGAATCGAGTATTACGACATAATTAATCAGTTTAATAATGATAATATTTTTATGAAACATTATATCTAAAAAGCTAATGATTTTACATAAAGGTCGTCCATAAATTATGCAACGCTAAATTAAACGCTAAAAAAAATATAAGTAGGAGATCTTATGCTCTTTCACGCGGCGATTTTTATTAAACATAATTGGCTATTTTGATTATTTAACGTAAGGCTCTGCGAATGAAAACTTTTGATCTTTTTTGCTTAGTTTTTAGTTTTGCTTCGTTTTTAGTAAAGTTTAGCGTTGCGTAATTTATGGACGATCCCTTACGATAACTTTTTACTAAATACAAAAGAGTTGAATATTTCAAAAAAAGTCAGTTTTAGTTTAGCATAATTGTTTTAAACCAATCAGTAGTTGCTAATTTTTTTTTTAAATTACACTATTTGATATGGAAGTTATTTGAATATATAAATTTTGAATAATTATAAAGTTGTTATATATCTTACAATAATCTATTATTTAATTACTATTATTATATATTTGTTATGTTATAGAGAGGTCCAAACTGACTATTATTATATATTTGTTATGTCAGAGGTCCCAACTGACCATTAAATATTTATTTACTTTTAGATACCTATTATTTATTTACCATTAAATAACAGGTATCTAAAAGTTATATAAATAGTAATCACATTTTATTTAAATTTGCTAAGAAAATTATTTTTAAAAAAACGTAAAAAAAATCCCCTTTTTGTAAATATGTTAAAAAATCATAGTTTTTATAAAATAAAATCTAAAATAATAATATTTATATAAAATGTAAAATAACAATATTTATATTATAATCTAAATCTAAAATAACAATATTTATATAAAATGTTAACTGTTTTTGAAAATTTTATAAAATTTCGCTTCTTTTGAGTACTAGGTTGAAAGACTTAAAAAATACTTTTCGGATATTAATAAGGACCTATTAAACATTTTAAACAAACATTGAACCCCCAGAAAAATGTTATTTATTCAAAAAATTTTAAATCGAGTGTTTTTTATATTGTATATCTAGGGGTTTTACGGGAGAAAATTTCAAATAATGTAATTTTCACCTTGTTATACTCTATTATATGTAATGTAGTTATTTTACTATTTTATGTGTTTATAAGTTTGCACCAAATTAATTTTTTTATTTTATTGGTATCTTATAAAAAAAGAAAAAGAAAGTATTATTGTTCTTCCCATAGAAATATTGAAAAATACAACTCCTTGAAAAGATGATAAAAAAAAAAAAAAAGAAGAGAGAAAATGACAAAAATTTTATAAAAATCAGCTAGTATATTAAAAACATGCTAAAAATTGTTCATGTCGGAAATAAGCCAATGTAATCTAAATAACTGTCTATTTTTTATAGTACTAATTTAGCTTTATATATAAACGAGAGTAAACGTTTAATTGCAAACGCAAAAACACATTACAAGAAGAAATGCTTTTGTGTTTGCGATAAGAGTTAGCGGTAGCCAGTGAGAATTATCTTGTTCTATCTCCACATTTTTGAGTTTTGAGATAAAGCGATTTAAAAAATAAAAACATTAGACTATGGCATATAAAAGTTTTTTTGTAACTTATGTTTTCTCCGCAACTTTTTTACTTACAAATTAGGTTTCAATACAGTAGAAAAACATTATTCTGAGGTACATAACAAACTCAGTAACTCAATTTT